CACAGAAAGGGTACTTGATAAATGAGCACTATGGTACTGCATTGCTGTTAGCCACTTTTGCCAAAGTAGAACAGGGCAGTGCCTGGGTCTCTGCAGAAGTATTTCAAACATGGAGGAAGCTGAATCCTGTTATCAGCGACTGCAGAACCTACAGAAGCCAGACAGGGACAGGTCCAAGGAAACAAGGGGCACAGCCAATGTGACCTAACTCCAGCCCAGGGCCAGAGGGGGCTTGGAGAGGCTGGGCAAGCAGAGGGAGGCCTAAATAACTCCCACCATATACAACATCTTCACCAAACATTGACTGCCAAGACCTGTGGCAAAGGCAGTAAGAGGCCACCTCAGGGGAAGGCTCAGAAAGCTTGGTCTGGGGCCCAGGCCAGATGGGGCTGAGAAGAGGAGCAGAGCCGGGCCCATGTGCCCAACAAGCTGTGCCAAACCAGCCGAATTTTGAGTTATATCAGGAAAAGGGATCTGTTCAGAAAACTCACCCATCTCTGCATATCTGCATATTCTATTTCAGGGTCTCTTTCCTTTTTTTTCCTCCTTAGCTTCCTAGAAAAGTTCGCATGATCATTCCAACTTCACCTCTGCTGAACCGCAAAAGCTCACTCAGTCCCCTCCCCAAATCCAAACACCCCCTAGGCAGCAAGCTTCTCCAGAGTTCCCAGCCCTCTCTGCTTCCACTGGCCCCAGCTATTCAGGCCTCAAACCCTGCAACTGGGCTCTGTTGGGAAATGCCCAGCCTGGTTTCAGGAGCTGTAATACTGCCAACAGGCTGGAGGGCCCCACGGCTGGAAATAATCAGGCGGCCTTGGAGAAACAGGCTCCTGAGGCGACTTGACCTGTTCCCCTGGCCTCTCTGCTTTGCCATGGGATGGCCCCTGCCAAGGGTGGGTAAGACCCCCCGGGGGAGGGGCAACCTAAGACAGGTATTGATCGATATGGGCAGCCGATAAGAAATTGGGGGACACAGAGAAGGGGCACAAAGGCCCCTGCATCTCTCAGCTTGGCTTGAACACGGCCAGAGTCCTCATTGCAGCCGAGAAGCAGTCTCCTTATCTCTTGGTGGTTCCCCCCCAACCCCCCGCCACTGGCTCAGGCTTGAAACAGTGCAGGAAGAACAGTCCTAAATCAGATCTGGTGTGTCCTGGGGTAATCAGGCTTAAAAGTAAATTCTTCAGTGTGTGCTCTGTTCCTCCCTCACATCTCTGGTCAGTTCATGCTGCAAAGGACCTTCACATTATTTACACCCCTTACCTTTTATCATTAAGGCACTTGCCCTTGTCTTCATTCTCTTTTGTTTAGACCGGTCTCCTCTCGGACCCATGTAAATCAGTGAATTCCTGTCACTTGTTTTCTTAAAGGTATCTGTTCTCTGTAAAACTTAACATGCTAATGTAATGAGTGTACATATGCATTCTTGTTACCTAGCCCACTAATAAATTTTTCAATAAAAGCCTTGGAACAAAGGGCAACACGGCCTTCCCCACTAGGGGTATGCACCATGGCCTTCTAGGGTAGGAGAGAAGTGCCCTGTCTGCTCTCCCGGCAAACAGAGAAGTGTTTGAGACATTTTGTGTTTATTTCCCCCTCATCTGTGACAACCCCGGGACGGGCTCTGAGGGTTTCAGAGCCCTGCTCCCACCTCAGCTGGCCCCTGATGGTTTCCCTCAGGTTTCAGGGAGCACTGCGCTCTCTGCGGTGCTCCCCCACAGCGGCACACCACGATAGCCACAGCACAGTGCGACAGGGCTCTGGTTCCATTGTAGCCATCTCCGCAAGCTCACCATGGCTCAAAATCAGCAAGTCCAAAGTTAGCCCTTTTGTTACTAGGTTTCCCTGTGACATCTCACACCACTGACCAAGCCTTCTCTGTCCAGTTTCTCCCACTCCATCAGCTTAGAGACTCCTGCTCTGACCTTCCCAGAAGCAGCATTTCCCGCCCTCTTCCATGTCCATCGGTCACCATTTCCTATAAAGTCTAATTTGTTAGTGGGTGTGCCTTTTCCCTGTCCCTGAAAAGCTGAATTCCCTTCTCTTTTGACACAGGCCGAGTCAGCTTAAAACTTCTTGATCATTATCTCCATCCTAGAAATATCCAACCGTCTACAAGACATCCCCACATGGCGTCACATAGCACCCCGGCTCAGTATGTATAAAATTGCACTTGCATTCCTAATTCCAACCCCACCCCCTTGTTCTTGCTGCACCCCCATCTACACACTCTCACCCTGCCTGCCTTCTCCCTCCCTCTCCCCCATCTCGCCTGCCTTTCCATCTCACACCCCTCCCTCCTCCCAGCTCCCCTGCTGCAGCTCTAGTCTGGAGGCAGCAAGCCTCCTAGCTGGCCTCCCACTCCCAGCCTCACTTCCTACAAATCCAGCCTCCACACAGCTGTCAGAGTATCTCAAATACACGCCTGGCCCCCCACTACCCTATCTAAGACCATCCACGGGGTGCCTTTTGCCCTTAAGACTAAGCCCAAGCTCCTAAAAGATCAGACCCTGCACCTCCTCCTATTCCTCCACACTCAGAAAAAACAGGCAGCAGTGGGAAGGATGTCAACTTTGGCAGAAGACAGACCTGAGTTTCTAAAGCCAACTTGTCCACTACCTAACCCTGAAATTGTGGACAGATGATCTCACCTCTCAACTTTAGTGTCCCCATCCAATAAATGGAGCTAATAGCACACTTACCTTTCCCAAGCTGCGATATCACAAATTCCAAGTTTCTTTCCACCCACTACTCTCTTCTATTCCCACACTGTAAGGTCACCATCAGTTCTCAAGGGATCATAACATTTCCACTGGTCTCCCTCCCTCAAGCTTGGCCCACTCTGCATCTATTCACATAGCCGCCAATATCCTTTCTGAAGTGCAAACCTGACTCTCTCTCCTGATTCAAATTCTCTTGTGACTCCCCACTGTCCCTAGGGTAAGTCCAAACTCTTCCCATGGCTTAAAATGATCTCTGTCTACCTCCAAACAAACCCTGCCCCACAGGGCTACAGGAGCTGTGTTTTCCCTGCACCCAGGCCACACAGTGCATCATCCTTCCTGCCCAATTCCTTCTCACCCTTCAGGTCTCAGCTAGATGCTAATGTCTCCAAGAAATTCTCCCTCCTCTCCCTCACACACACAGCCCCTAACCCAAGTTAGCTTCCCTATCTATGAGTCCCATGCCCACTGGACCAGCCTGGCCCAGTTCTCATCAGGTATTAGCATAATGTTTGTCTGTCTTAACATTGACATGGTCCTGGGAAGCAAGAATCCCACCTTTTTTACTTGGCACAGAGTAGAGGCTGAGTGTTTGTTGAAAGGGTAAAGGGGGCAACGGCAAGGAAGGGGTCCTTGGCCCATGGAAAGCCAAGGCTCAGTGGGGACACTTATTAGACTTCAAAACACAGCCACAGGAAGCAATGCCAACTTGCCAAGACCCCAGAGGAAAGAGCTGACAAAGAAGGATAGGAGAAATCGTGGAGATGGCTCAGTTCTGGGAAGCAATGTAACTGGTATTTGGGGGTCAGTTCCAGGGACAGGACAGGGTTACCCAAATGTTCCACAGCATAATAGGGCAGGGAGTTAAGGAGCCCCAGTGCCTTTGAAGGCAGACCCTGGGGGCACAGGACGAGTTGCCACAAAATGGAAACCCACTCTTGGCCGGCTGTATCATGGGGACTATGAGCTATGTCAGCCCCGTTTGACCAAGGCAGGCCTATGAGGAAGGACCCGACCTTTGTTTCCACCACAAACAAGCCAGAGACATCGGGTTCAAAAACAGGGCTTCCTGGTCTGCCCTAACCACAAGACGCAGTTGGGCTCTAGGCAGCACACTGAGCACAAACAGGCTGGGCCCCAAGAAGCCTGGTGGGTTCAGTCTGAGTCTTCTCAGCCAATACAAACACCTCTCAACATTAATTCTAGGATTGAGAGGGAAATGTGGAGAGACTTCACATTTTCTGGAAGAAGGAAAGAATACTATGCTGTTTGGGCCATTTCTGGAATAGTGCTGCTCCTAAGTATCTCCCTTTAGGACTATCACAGATAAGCTGGAGGTCATCCAGAGAGAACAGGATGTGCTGGGGACCAAAACTCGAGGTCAAGGAACAGGTGAATTACACTAGCCCCCTTAACTGAAGCCATGCTATTGAAGCAGAGGGAGCAGGCTTGCTCCGTGGGTTCCCTTGGGGGTCAAGGCTGGGGAACAAAGGACAGGGTAGGCGGTCTTTATAAGTGGCAAAGTTTTGTCCCAGGTAATAAGCAGAAGCCGAATGACAACGATTGTGATGCTGTGAATGAAACAAACATCTGCCGAAGGCACTGGATTAGGCAGACCTCTTGGCAACTTTCTCTTGAAACACAATCTAAAGGGAAAAATTTTCTCCTGAAAGTATTCAAAGCACACAAAACTTACTTGTTCAACTTGGACATGTCTGCAGCGCAGCAGGGAACACCATGCCAAGGGGAACTAGAGCTCAGGCAGATGGAGCAGCAGCTTGGGGTTGGTGCCCATCCTTCAATATGAAGGCTGAGACCTGTGCCTGTTAGTGGTGGTGTTTGGTAATGTTATTTCACTACTCTTACATTTATGCCTTCAGGACAGAGAAGGGGGACGTGCCTTCTGGCACAGCTCTCCGGCATGGATTCTGGCATCATTACAAAATAGGCATCAAAGAATGTCAGATAAGACTAGCCTGGGGGGGAAGGACAAGGAATCTTTTGGAAGCCTCTGGAAGAGGAAATGATGTGGAGAGTAAGCTGCCCCTAGCTGCTCCTCTGAAAGTCCACCTAGCCACTCCTCAGACTGTAGTGATCTAAAAAGCACAACCTCGTCTGGACACAGTTGAAACAAGCTGTTACTCTGGAGACTGAGCAGCAGCCTTTCTCCAGCCTTAGGCACATCCTGAGGATGCCACACCTCAGAGCACGAAAGGGTAGGGGAACTATTACTGGAAACTTTTCCTGAAAGAAAATGGGCATCACATAGCATCCGATGACGTGGGACTAACATTCTCCAGCCACGGCCCAGCAGCAAGAGCCAGTCGTGCTCCCCGATGTCACAGCACCGAGACCCACACACCACACTTGCCCCACTGCCCCCACCAGCGCGGATCAGCCAGAAAGGCCAGGCACTGGACAAAGTGAAGGTCAACCGTCAGGTGTATTGGGTAAAGGAGAGATGGGGCACCTCCAGGAGTGCCTCCCGTGGGCAGACACCTTGGCAGTTTGTTGGGGGTCAGGAGGAGCGGGGAGTTCATGGGGCTCCTCCGGCAAAGATGAGCTCCAGAGCTGCTTGGATGTCCCCGCCAGTGGCCTGAAGGGCCCGCAGGCTCAGCTCATCATCCTGAATGCCCATGTCGCGCAGCTGCTGCAGCTGAGGCTGCCACTGGCTCTGCAGAAAGACAGGACCAGGGAAAAGCTGTTAGATGGGATCCTACGGAGACGCGCTTAGGTCTGTCCTTTGAGGGGAGAGAAAAGGGTGGGTCTGTCCTACCGCAAACTCGCTGATTTGAAGTTCCACACAACATAGGATCTCTAGGAAGACTACAAGAGAGACTCAGGGTTTAAAGAACAAATTAAAAGTTTATCCAATTTTTTAAAAAAGAAAATTTTAACATAAGAATCAAAGAAAAAAGCAAATTACTCAACGTCTGACGTTCAAAAGACTACTTTCTTCCTCCTACTATGTGTAGGAACAGACATACACACACGCAGACGCGCGCACATAACAAAAAGGGTGAGGAGGATAAGATTTTTGCTTAGTTCTGGTTTCGAGCATGATAAATAGCAAAAACGTCTTCCTTGCATCCACTCTCATCCCCAACCTGGATGACCAATTTTATTTTGAGAAGACAAACACGTTACTGTATTTACACTTTTGTCGTGTTCCTCCTCTTCGTCTATACCCCTCTTCTTTTTTCTTTAACGCTCTCAGTGTAGCCTGGACATCTCTCTATGCCAGTACTTGAAGGCCTTTTTAATAACCATGACATGTTTTAGCACCGTGGATGTCCTGAAATGTACCATAATTGGGCTAGTTCCAATCTTTTGCCATTGGAACAACACTGCAGCGACCAACTCCGTACAGGTGTCATTTTCTTTGAGCACAAACACGTCCAGGACAAATTCTGAGAAATGGGACTGTGAGGACGTACATGGTCTGGGGGCCATCGGTACTGCACTTCCATGAATAGTCAGTTCATGGCTTCTCTCCTTTTTACGAAAAATGTTTTTGTTGTTAGCATTCAGACTTTGCCTGTTTTCTTTTTTCCTTATTTGTTTGGATTGATACACATAAATTTTCACTTTTACAAACTCAAAATATATTACTTTTTCGACAACGGCCCCTGGATTTTGACTTTCAGTTATAAAAAGCCTTCGCAACTGTAAGGGTTTAAAGCAATTAACCCATATTTTCTTTTAGTACCTTCAAAACTTCGTCAGTCTCTCTATCTCATGAAGTAGGTAAGCGTACAACTTAGGGGAAATGATGTGCTCGCACTGCGGAAAGGAGAAGGCAATGGGGAAGGAATGTAAATTCACGCAGGCAGGAAGGGGAGGGTGTGGAGGGCTTTTAAGAAAACCACACGACCAACTCTGACTCAGTTTATAGGCCTGGTGGAACCACCGAAAGCTCCTGAGCTGGAGAACAAGGTGAACAGGCGTCCGGCTAAGATGAAGAAACGAAAAAAGACAAGCTGTCCACAGGCACTGCTCCCAATCCCCTCACTGTCCACCTGGGCCACACGGGGTAGACAAAACCACACGGGTTTAAACCCGGTCTCTACCATATCCTGGCTTACTGACTCTGGCAAGTTCCAGAGATGACGCTCGGCCCCACGCTTCCTGTGAGCAGTGAGGGAAACAGGGAAGCAGACAGCTGCGCACAGAGACCGTGGGTCTTCCGCTTGGCTGCTAAGGTGAGCGTGCCATGAAGCGGAACGGATGGTGTCACTCCCGCTTAACCCGCCACGGCTCCCTTAGTGACCACGCTGCCCAGGCCCTCTGCTCCGCACATGCAGGCGGGCACCTGCTCTCTTTCTCTCCGGCTCCACATCTCAGGGTCTTCTCCACGAGGACGCTGCCTTGAGCCTTGCAGTCCTCAGAATGTCACATGCCCCTCCGCACGTGCCTGGACACCAACCCTCCACCCCAAACAACCCCTTCGCTGCCTGCCCAACCTCTAACTCATTCTTTGACAATCAGCTTAAACATCCCTTCTTTAGAAGTTCTGTCTGACCTATACCCGCACCTCAATCCTGGGCCAGGCTTCTAGCCCCGTTGCTCCTCAAGTTCAGTAGCTAACTGCCTGACGCCCCTCTGGCAGGAATGAGGACGGCTCATCTCTAGCCCAGGAACCGGACCCAGCCCCAAGCTCAGTATAACATGCTCGGTGCTCAGGTAGCACTCGCGGAATGACGGAATGAATGGACCAAAACTGCCGTAAGTCAGTTTTCTAAGCCAGGAGGTCAGCGCAGCCAGGCCACCGTCACCGGGTGCAGGAGTGGAAGTCACAGGGATTACTGCCCTTGCGGTGAGCATCCTCCTGTTACACTGCCACGCCCCTGCTGTTCCTAGAGTGAAGCACGCCAAGTGGGAAGGCCCCCAGAGAGCAGAAGAAAGCTCGGTATCCAAAGTAACCAGGAAAGCCGCACGGGCACCAGGAGTGGGGAAGACTGACCTGAAGGCTGGGCTGCCCAGAGGCCTGCAGGGCATGCTGTAGGGCTTGGCTGAAGAGGTCATTGGTGATGGGTGTCCCTGACTGGACACCAGAGGACATTGGTGAGGTCCCAGAGGAATGGCCCTAGTGAGACAAACCAGTGGTCAGGGCCGCCCTCAGGGCCATCTCAATCTCCCGGCACATAGACACTGCTGTCACATCACCCCACGGTGCCCCCGGCACGCCCAACTACCACCTCCAACTGGGGCCTGCCTGAGACAACCACACAGAGGTAGGTACCTAAAGGCTCATCAGGCGGGCAGGAAAGGCTCCATTCTCTTCCGCTCCAGGGAAATGGAGTCGAGCCGCTGACCTAGCCTAGGACCCTAGCACCGGAAGCTGGCGTGACCGGAAATCACTAGAAATGCTTAAGCTATTGAGGGCTGGGCCCTTAATGTGTCAGGGATGGGGAAGCGCACTTAATGGGAGGGAAGGTTCTCCTGACTTACTCAGGAGGAGGAATCAGTCAAGACTGTGCTACACCCTGGACTTCTGTGCCCTAAAGGCGAGTGAGAGAAAGGTCGCAGAGTGAGAAACCCCGCGAGGATTCAGGCAGAGTTCAGCTCAAACCAGATACCAGGGTCAGCAAGGGCAAATCCACCCCACCGTTGGGGAGCTTCTCCCCTGGGATCCCAGCCTCCCTCTTCTTGCCCCCTCTCCATACCTGGGTGCCTGGAGTCGGTGTGTGAGAGCTGCTCTCTGGAGTGCTGGCCAGGGCCAGGGCAGTGGCCAGCTCGCTCTGGGTGATGGGCCGGGGTCCAGCAGCTCCACTGTACCCCAGGGAGGCCGGGGCGGGAGCTGGGGGTGCTGCTAGAGGGCGTGGACCTGGCCCTCTGGAGAAGGGAGGCACCCAGAATCAGGAAAGTGGCCCTGTGACGGTCCCAGATAACCCCGCCCCCGTTCCTTGTACAGTTCTTGGGGAGACTCCTCAAGCTGCCAGGTTCAGAAAGCAATAGTATAGCACAGATGTGGACACCAAAGGGCCTGTCACCACCTCACAGCTTGGGCTCCAGGTCCCAGGGAGGGGAGCGGCCCTGGGACCACATTCCCCAGAGGGCAGGCAGCCAGGCCACTTACTGGGTGAAAGTCATCCTCATCGTCAGAGAGCCCTTCAAAGAGGAAGCCACCTGGAGGAGACAGAACAGATTTCAGGAGGAAGAACAGAAAGGCACAGGCGCAGCTCCAGAATCTCAGCTCAGATACTCTCCAAATTCATATTTTCATTTCTTCTCTTGGAAAATTACAGGACAGATGCACTCCCTGACTCAAACCGAGAGTTCCCGAGGAACACCCTCTGCCAGCGCTATACATAGCTGCTGAGTAAAGCATTTTCCTGGGCCACTGCCGGCTCCGGAGGGGGCCTGCACGGCACTCTCCTGGGACTCACCTGGCATGTCCCGGTAGGAGCTGGAGGGCGTGCTCCGGGAAGAGGAGTCAGCCCCCGGTAGCGGCGTGCTGCCGGCCACCGAGTGCAAAACCAGGACAATGGCATTGACTAGGGCCGGATGAGCAGGTACCAACCTGGAACAGGGGCAGGAAGAAACCCAAGGGTGAATAAGAAAGAGCACGCCTGCCATGACAAAAGCCTGGGTGGCCCTCAGAAATATCAACAAACAAAAGCCCCCTGAGCCTGCCTTTAAAATCCTCGGTCTCCAGCACCTCCTTCCAGCTGGCTTTGTCCTCCTCTGCTCTGCCCCTAGCCACAGCGTCAAGGCCTTCAGTCCTGGGGTCCATTGTAAACGCTTCCCCTTCCCCTCGGCATTATGGGATAGGACTGCCTGAGAGGCTCAGGGATCAGTCTTTGGTCTCGACTCTGCCACTGCTTCCCAGGTCCCCTCTCTTCCCTTTGAGGGGGCGAGGGTGGGGAGAGCTTTTTTCTTCGCTTGCAAAATAAGAGACAAAACCTCTGCTGTCCCGTCCAGCTCTAAAACAATAAGGATCTATGCACCTGCTTCCTTCCCCAGCTTCACATCCTTCGAAGGATCCTTCATAGCTATCGCATGAGAACTAAACTGAGCCCAGCCCACAGGGCCACCTCCCTCAGACCCTGCTTCACCTCCACAGCAATATGTGTTCCTGCCCTTGGGTTTGTCGCTCCCCATAGCTCCCTGCTCCTTCTCACCTCCTGACACATTCAGAAGGTAGACTTGGGGGCAGTCAAGAACTGGGCTCCAAGAGCCCAATGCAGGGCAACCCTTAGGCTCTGGACCGACTGTATGAGGAGAGATAGGGTACTCTTCAATAAAATGGGTATACTTACGTATCAAGCATGTTGGGATCAGCAAAGACAGAGAAAAGGTCCTTGTCCTGGAGAACCCCTAAGGAGAACAGGACTCACCTCAGAGACTGAAACCTAGCCAGATCCAGGAGGGAGAAGAAGTGTTAGGCCTCAGGGCAACCAGCTCAGCGGGGACACAGGACCACAAAGCACCCCATGTAAGAAGTGGAAGAAACAAAGCACCAAGCAGCACAACAGAGTGCTCTCCATCTTGTTCTCTGCTCACCACCTTGCCCTGCAGTTAAGTCACATACTGGGCACCAACACGCCAGCCTCTTTTCCCGTTACCTCCAGGCTCTTGCCTGATCCACCAAGGTGTGCAAGAAGTCTTCCCTGATTGCTATGGTTTGGGCTAACTGCTGCCCAAACCATCCTCACAGTTTCATCCTCACAGTTTCATTTATGATGTTAGTTAGGCTGAGGGGCTGACAGCTCTTGGAGGGCTAGGTATGCGGAACGCGTCTTGGTTCTCCCCTCTCCCCCCAGCAAGACCAGTGATTCTTCAAAAGACGGTCAGAGTCTCTTTAGGGTGACCGCCTTCTTCTGGTTTCTGCTTTTCCCACAGCTACTTCCTCAAGTTCAGCCCTGTACCTACCGAGAGCAATGGGGTCACTGCTGAGGCCTGGGGTGGCCACAATGATCTGATCCAGAGACTCCTTATTGCTGAGCATCTTAAAGACCTGCAGGAGAAATGGGGAGGGCTGAGCTCAATGCACTCAGCGGGTTTCCACACTCTGCTTAAGTACTTGCTCCCTCTGAGTGCCTGCACATACACCACAACAAAACAACAGTCCCCGGAATCAGATGAACCTCTTTCTTCTCAGAGATCGTGGCTTACGGGAGGGGAAACAATTTTTTTTTTCTTTAAAAGGCATTATCATAGCAAACCGTCAATCTCTAGTCCTTCCCCCATCTATACCTCTAAAGCTTCCAAAATAAAAGCTCTGTTACAAGCCAATAACAAAGGTTTCTCTAGGTCCCAAAAGTCCTTTCTAATCTCCATACGACTATCATTTCATAGCCATATATATCGGGAAGTTTGCAGCTGTATCAATTTTGCTTATCAACTCTCCTACAGAAAGACACCAGTGCATCTCGCAGTGAGGAAACCCAGGTGAGGGGCAGTGGGCAGGCAGTTCAGCCAAATTCCAAGAACGAGGCCCAGGGGAGACCATATGTGGATCCTTTGGCTGTAATCATATTCATTCTGTGAGGCCAATACCAGAAGAGGTTGTATCATTATCTCTAGATGGAATCGACACTACCTAGCTGAGACAGCCTCCTTGGGGGAAGACAGGGCTCTACTGAGACCCACAGACAGGGCAAAAACTCCCCGAGGAACTCTTGGTGGCCATGGCAACGGGCTCCCAGCTCCCACTCTACACCACTCTCCAGCATTCACACTCTCCTGCAGGTCTGGTGAGTCTCAGGCAGGGGGCTGCACAGCACACACTCACCGCCTCCCGGTAGGAGGAGCTGCTGTGCAAGGCAGTGTGCAGCACCCGGAACTCCCGCAGGGCAGCCACTTTGTCCACAGGTTCTGGGGACAAGACACACAGTTACCCTACAGCCCAGGCCCTGCCCATGCTGCAGACACAAAACATCATTTCAGCATGTGGCCAGGTGCAGCTTGGCCTGCAGGTCCCCTCCCTCATCACCCCACTAACAATGTGAGTGCCCACTCAGAAAAACCCATTTATAACACAGATGTGAAAAATGCACTCTTCTAAGCATCCTCAGGCTATCAAAGATAATCAAAGTCCAGTTCCAGCAGAGAGGATCTTATCACATGAAAGAGACTGCTCTGATCAACATCCCACTGCAAGAATTTTAGACTTCTCACATTTGAAAAGGAGGAAGGTATAACCAACTCAGTAGATTTTTATACAGTGATTTAAAGTACTAAGTGCTGCAAGCCATCTGAACAACATGAGGCTACATAGACACAATATGTTAAAAGAAATAGAACACAGAGTTGTGTGTGCATTATTTAATAAAACCACGTAAAACGTGCCAGTGTGCATGTGGTCCAAGGTGGGGCGCGGGGAGAGACAAAGAACAGGACAGCACTTAGTAGGGTGGCAGGATCCAGGGTAATCGTTTTCTCTTTAATATTTTCTTTCGGACTTTCTTAATATTATTTTTAATTAAAAAAAAAAAATACAAGAGGGACCAGGAAACACATGTACTCCTAGTGTTCTTAAATAAACTTTCATCACATGCACGATATCAAGGGTTTCACTGGGACTCAAAGTTCCTTTTTGATTTTTGGAAACTAATATGTATGTATGTGCGTGCGCGCGCGCACGCGCGTATATACAAGAAAGTTTAGCAGTTGTCTTAGTTTTCCTTAGTTGCTCTACTACCTAGGACATCAGCCCATTTCATAGGTGAACAAATGTGGGTTAAAGAAGGGGGAGCAGGTAAGCAGTTCACCCTGGGTCACACTTTTAAAAGTGTGGTTACCCTCACCTACAATGGCCACTTGTGATCCTATAGACTGTGTACTGCCCAACTCACTCCAGGAGCACCACTCTCAAAGCACGGCGCATGGCACCCCCCCGTGGCTCCATGTGGAACCACATCCTCACCTATCCTAATTGTGAGGATTACCTCTCCTGAAAAATACTCACCTTAAGCAAATCGCCTGCTTCATTCACTCAACAAACACATACTAAGCATTTACTCCATGCCTGGTTTTGGGCAAGGCACAAGAATGCAAAACATAAGGGTCCCTGACATCGAGGAACTCTTAGGACAGCAGGAGAAACAAGACTAGATCAAACAAATTACCAAACACCACGCTGAGGACCTCAGCTGAGGCGGGGATCCCAGCTAGAGCACAAGGAACAGGAAGCCGACAGCCATTACTAACAGGGACAGCTAGGACAAAGAGCTGTCTCCCAGGAGAAATCATTTGAGAGGGTATTCAAGGTGGAGCTGATGATTACTAGGGAGAGAAGGTAGTCCAAGCTTAAGTGAAAACACATGGAAAGGCAGGGAGGCCTAAAATGAGGCGCTCTGAAAGACGAGCAAGTCTTTTTTTGGGGCGGGGAGGGGGGACTGGAGCCTGGGGAACACACCCCTGGCTCAAACAGCAGGCTGAGGAGGTCCTGAAGGGATGTGTGACCCATCACGGAGAACCGCCAAAGAGATCTAGGTGGGAAGGGAAGGTCTGACAGATTCTCCTTCTCCAAGTGCTAATCTAGTGGGAGATAAAAAAAATGTGCTTCCTAGAGGTAGAAGAGAGAGACAGTATGGGGGGGGGGGGGCAATGGTAATGGGAAAACATACAATAAAAATGAATGTAAATTAAAAAATAAATGAATAAAATGCAAAGGGGAAAAAATAGAAATGCGCTTCCTTTTGGAAGAACACAGTGTCTAAAATGCCATCACAAAACAGTTTCTTTTCAGGTCTAAAAGTTTATTTTTACCTCCCAATTAAAAGTCCATTTGTTTCTGAAATAAATCTCCAGGCTCTGGCTAGATAGTTCAGCTGATAAGAGAATCGTCCAGATTTGCTAAGGTTGCGGGTTCGATCCCTGGTCACGGCACATACAAGAATCAACTAATGAATATCAATAAGTGGAACAACAAACGCATGTATATTTCTCTTTCTCCCCTTTCCTCTCTCTCTCTCTAAAAATCAACTTAAAAAAATCTTCAGGCAGAAGGGGTGGGGCGAGAAAAGGACTCTTAATATCTTAAGCGAATAATCAGCTAAGAGTCAAGGTTGTCTCTGGGACATCTCTGAGTTAATTCTCACCTTTCGAAGCAGGAAGCAGCCAGCCCAGTGACAAGAACATGGGGTCTTGAGCCAGGAAAACCTGCATTCACATCCCAGCATTTGAATTCATTTTCTAAGTAGGTGCCCTTGAATAAATACCTTTCTAATCCTTTTTCCTCACCTATAACATGCTAATTTTGTTACCTATCCTGCAGGGCCACTGTAATGGTGAAATGAGATATTAAGGAGAAACAATCTGGCTAGAAGAAGCAACAAATGCTACTCTCCTTCTGTCAATGCCCTCCAGCCAAATAGTAGTAAGGCTCACTTGCAGAATGCACACCACTGATTTCCGAGGGGCACATCTATAAGAGGTTATTAGAAAGGACTTAACTACAGGATTTGGGCTTTGGCTCGGTGATTTGGGGGTAAGTTTAAGGAGGTGGGTTCTTGTTTTGGACTGGATGCTGTCTGGAAGTGGGGGAGAATTTTTGATTGGGTATCTTAATAATTCTTATCTAAAGGAAAACTAGGGCAAGGCAAAAACTGAAACTGGAAAGAAGCAGCAGTCACTCATAATAGCCAGGATAGAGGGATATTTGGTCATTTTTGTGGTTGGACAATGTTCAGGTTTTTGCCTCCGTTCACAAATGAGAGGCACTTGTTTTTGTCTTAATCCACTTCAGTCTCTGAGTGGCCTTAGAGATGCTGATGATCTGTGAAACAGTTCACGTTCCAAGGCCTAACTGAGGGCCAGGCCAACCTCTGGATATCAGAACTACCTTTTTCTTTCTCACTTCCCATCAGAGTACAAAAGGTCTTTCTCCTCTATGTTTAGATATGAAAAGAGAGTATATTTCAAGCTGATAACCAGTCACAGCAACCGTGAAGACTATAAAAGTATCAAACTGCCAGTTTAACAAAGCTAATCTTTTTATATAGCCTAGCTTTATCCTTGGAGAGGCTTTTAAAACACAGGTGCAAAATTTAAGTTATAAATTCCAAGCAGCACCTTTTATGAATAAATCCAAAAGACATTAGAGGCTTTGTGTGTTTTCTCTAAGAGCTACCTTAATACTGCTGAAGTATTTTCAAGTTTTAGAAAAATAAATTACCACTATAGCAGGAGGAGTGAGCTGACGGAACAAGTCAATGCCTGAGGCAGTTTGCCGGAATATTTGAAAAGAAGAGAAAAAACCACAGTATCAGAGCAGCAATTTTCAACCTTTTTCCACTCATGGCACACAAAAGCTAATTATTACTAAAATTCTGCAGCACATCAAAAAATATAATATATTGTTCTGATTTTTAAAACAGCGTAATTTTGATTCATTCACACAGGATGGCTATTGTTGTGTTGGCCATTGTCATTTTTTTTTACTTGACAATGTAAGGGAAAAGAGGTCAGTGTCCCTGACTAAAGTCTGGTATTGCAATATTTTAAAAATTCTTGTGGCACACTGGTTGAAAATTGCTGCACTGGAAGAATACAAGGAGTCCCCAGCTTTTTTTTTAATAAGAACCGTAACGAAAAGATAACAAAGTTCACTGAGAAATAAACTGTTAACCTAAACAAATTTAAATAGACACATATTTCTTACCCCATTAAAACAGTGGATAATGAACTTAAAAAGTAGAGAAACAAATCCCTATCCATTATTGGTACTGGTGGCGAGAAGCTCAAAACTTCATTTTGTTTTATCAAGGTGGTCTAACCCAATTAAGTAATAAAGATATTTATCCTCTATTACTATTTCAGTAAATTACCCCTTTCTTCCATCCAGCCAGGCCTGTGCCTCAAAAAACCAAAGACCCTTCCCTTGGTTCTACTGAAGCTCTGCCTAAGGGCCAACTGTCACTCACCAGGTTTCTGATCAGGCTCAGGCCAGGACTTGCGCAGAACGTGGACTGTGGATCCAGGTTGAATGCCATAGAAGTCAAGAGTCTGGTCGTCTTTTAGCTTCCGGCCACAGTAGATCAGATCTAAAAAAAGAACTGTCCATTTATAATTTGCTCCTCAAAACAATTTAGACAGTTTCTAAACCTTATTTCAATTAGGCAAATAACTAGAGAATGATATATACTTACAAAGTAGTGTTATTTAATAAATACATTTTAATAACAATTGTTAGCGAGTACAAACTCATAAAATACAGGATGTGCAAACAAGAAAGCTCTAAAGCTTAACATTGTGGAGGCTGCTCAATTTAAATGAATGGAGAAATGCAACAACAAAAAAGGATGAACCCAGTGTTTATATGATTGAAAACACAGTTTTTTCCAGTTGGATCCCTTAGCTGTTAAAAATGACCTTTATACAATAATATAATTGTTATATTTAATTCCCTCTTCTTAGAATGCCCTTGCCATTGTCCTTTCATTTACTGTCTTCCCTCTAACTAACCAAACAAAAAACAAAGCCCTTTTAATCATTCCTTAGGACCAACTCAAAATGCCATATACTGGCGTGCTTCCCCCGACCAGCTCTTCCTGCCCTATCCCACCCCCAAATTCTTGCCCTTTCAAAAAGAATTCAATAATGTCATAGTTAAGGAACTTTGTGATAAAGTAGTTCTGAATAATACACAACTGAAATGGCAACCAATAGTTTTATTATTCGATATTTGTTTCTTTTTACCCAACACTCACTTCCCTAGAGTGTTAACATTATGAGGCAACAGATCTCAACTTCTTAATTTACCCCTGTAATTCCAGAAGTGTCTTTCCCAAAAAGAGATCAGAGCAGTAGCCCATTTCTAGTTCAGAGACTTACCAATTAGCTCAGGGTCTGGAACTGACTCCTGGAGTTTGCCAGCAATGAGCTGCTTCAGAAATGAAATACTATAGCCCCCCAGTGAATATTCTCCCAGCTCTGTCTCTGGCAACTGAAGAATAGACTTTGGGGCAAGTGGCTGGTCAGCCAGTTTCACTGCCAGGTGCCAGTCTGAGAGAGACATCCTCTCTCTTTCACGCTCTCTCTTTCTCCCTGTAAAGGAAATGACCCCTTAGTGGTTAAAGGACTGACCACCCTACTCTACCAGTACCCCACCAAGAGGTTGGATGACAGATAACTCAGTGTGACACTGCAGGAAAAGCACAGGGTGCAGCATCATGACAGAAGTAGAATCTGGGGTCCTCTCAACTCATTCTATGATGGACAGCATGGAACTTCAACTCCCTAGGCCTCAGTTTCTCCATCTTTAAAGTACACATAAAAACATCAGCCCACCTAAAGCAATGTTGTGAGTTTCAAATGAGATCATCCAACCCTGTCCTTTACGTACACTCATTTCTCATTCACACCTCTTGCTCGAGCTATTACAAGAGCTTTATAACAAGTTCCCTGGCTCTTGCCTTTACCTATCAAAAATCCATGCTGCCACCCAATTCATTTAAAAACATAGATATGATCAAGTCACCCTTCTGCTTAGAATTCCTCCAATGACTTTAAATCACCTCTATGAATAAGTCTAAACTCCACAGTCTGACAAACATATTTACATCTGTTCACTCTGCCAGCCTTCCTGCCAAGAGAACCTTGTCCCACCCTCCCCAGCACATAACCCCACCTGCACAAAGCCTCCATTCAAAACAAGTTCCCTCACTTTACACCTCTGCTCACCTGCTAACACTGCTTGTAATTCCTCTTCTCTTTGGCCTCTCAGCAAAGCTTAGCAAACTCCTACCAAAACCAACCCAAATACTACCTCCTCTGTCCCCTCTCCTCCTCCTCTGTTGTCTCCACATTCCTTCAGGGCAAAGAATTCCAAATATCTATTCACTTTCAATCTCACAACCACCACCACCACCACCACCCCCCCCAACCATTTCTTGGGGGCTCCTGAAAGCAAAGACTGTATTTTTTGCTTTTACCATCCCATTGCCTAGCACATATGGGTGCCCCAGCAATGCATCAGAGATTTTGAGGTTTGAAGAATCTTGTAAGGCAAGAAAATTACTGGTTATAATCACTATCGCTTCCAAAGAGTCCTCTAGCAGGGGCAATACAAAAGGTTGTGAGGTTGACAGGCTCCTCAACAGGCCCCAAGCCATCTTCAAGGTATCTCCCATGTCCAGATTCATAATAGAGGAGGTAACAGGTCTATTCATACCATATCTCATTTAACCCTCACAATCGTTCACTGAGGCAGGCATTACCATCCACATATTACAGACAGGGCAACCGAGACCCAGAAAGGTAGTCACCGGCACAAGGTCACAGATAGCTAAGTAGTGGGAAGGACACTCTTTAGCAATGGCCCCACCGCTCCCCTGGGACCAGCTAACTTGTCATCACGAGTCGAGCCCACGCGGCCCGGGTCCCAGCGCCCTCACCCGTCCCGCGGAAAGAACCCGGCCGCAGAGCCGCCGGCGTAAACACTCACTCCAGTCCCTTCGCCGGAAACCGGAAGTTCCGCGCTGCATTCTGGAAGTTGCAGTTCCCGCTGCTGTTCCGCCCCTTGTAAATAGTAATTTGGCGGCAAGTGGCGCTGGTTGCAAACTTCCGGTTCCGGGGAGGATGTAGCTTCTGTCTTTTGAAATACCCCGCGCGGTTTCTTCTTGGTGCTTTCGCCCTCATGTACTACTTTCTGTCAAGTGTTCGGGGGCGCGAGTCGTGAGAGAGCGCCCTGGTGTGGCGCGTACAGCCCTGTGACTCCCACGCTGTCTTGGGAAGCACGCAAAGTCAGTAGGTCGTGCTGGGTTGTTGAAGAGCTGCACGTGGAAACGCCGGCTGCGGGACCCTAGGCCAGATGGTGGACCCCGGTCCTCGCCGCCCCGACCCTCCATCCGTGAGGATCCTTTCCGTAGCGGCTTCTTCAGATGCACCGCCCCGACCCCGCCGCCAGCGGTTCTTCGCAGCCCTCACATTGAAATCAGGTGCCCTCGGTGAAGTCAGCCTCTTTGTGTTCCTTGCCACAACTTCTTGCGGCGAACATACCTACGTGGCAGACCTGGAACGTGGGTTCCTTGAGGGGAGTTACTAAGTCGGGTTTCTGGTATGCCCAGCATGCAGTGGTGGGGTTTATGTAACAGTCATTCAAAGAATCAGTTTGGGGAGGGAAGTTTCCACAGGACCCTCGCAAGGAAACTGCATGTTTTAGCTTCCAAGTTACAATTGGATTATGTTTGCACGGAAATTATGATTAGCTAAAATGCTGAAGAGGGGAGCTATTTCTAATTGAACTGTATTCAAATTTAAAAAGTGAGTATAAGAAAATAATAACGGTAGATCATAGCAGCTAAAGGCTGATCCTCTCCCAAATGTAAAAGCGTAACTCTGGAACATCCCAATGTACGCCCTGGGACTGAGGCAGCACTGAGCAGGCCAGCATGCATGACTGAGGAGAGCACACAAACTGCAGGGTTTGGGAGGGCCTAACATTGAAGGCCAGTCACCCCTTCGCTGTTGTTATGGTATGTGGAGAGCTGCACGACTTCTGTCTCTATCTTCAGGCTGTAGTCCAGGTTCCTCGTGGCTGTCCTCAAAGGACCTTCTTCCCCCATCACACTCACCTTTAGATACACTTTCCCTTCCAGAAATCCTAGCTATCGAGCCCTATTTCGGCCCCTCCCATCTGAGCCACATAAATTAGTATTTTGTTAAATTTTGTTTGGTATTGTGCCTAACTGCCTGCAGAAGAAAGCAGGGATTGTGTCTTCATTTTGTTTTCCTCAAAATGCATCTGAAATAGTAGGTGCTCATAAATGTCTTATTTTAAATGATTTCATTGTAATCTTGATAGGGGAAAGGACAATAACTTTTGTACTTCACTTTGTCTTCAACAGTTGACCTTGGCCTGGCACATAAATTTGTGTTGAATGAATAATTAAAGCCAAAGCTATCTACCAAATGTGGCTGTGTTATTGTACCCAGGAGAGGAGGTAAACCTAAATTCTGACTCATTACAATGTTCGGAAACATGGTAATAATAAATCACTAAATGAGAAAATGAATGAAGGAATAATTTGATACTAAATAGGATTTTTGAGGACCAATTTACCAAGTAGGTGTTGCACTTAGAATCAAAGGTCATATTCTAGAGAAAGTTAGAAGCCTGGGCACAAGACAAAGATGGATGACCAGAAAAGTAATAAAAGAATCTGGGCCCTGTCCTTCAGCCCATCCACATTTGGAGACATTGATGCTCTCAGTAACCATCTATAAGACAGCTGTGGACAATTATTCATTAAACCTTCAGGCCAATCACTAACTATGAAAAACAATATACATACCATTTGCATATGTAAAATAGACTTTTTATAAAATTAATATGTGGATATGTAGGTCTAACAAGGGAGCAAGTGAAAATCATCTATAAATATTCCTGCTACAAACAAATGCATAAAATATTTATTAAAAATCATATAGCCCAGACCAGTGTGGCTCACTTAGTTGGACAGTAGCCCACAAAGCATAAGGGTTGCCAGTTTTATTCCCAGTCACAGCACATGACTAGGTTGTGGGTTCAGTCTTCAAACGGGGCATGTATGAGAGGCAGCCAATCAATGTTTCTCTCTCTCACTAATGTTTCTCTCCCTCTCTTCCTCCCTTTCTCTCTCTCTAGAAATAAATAAATAAAATCTTTTTTTTAAAGTCATATAGCGGTGGTCACAGGAGAAATGGGAAATGAAGAGGTAACTGAAAGCAAGGCAGTGTGCTTGAAAGCTAATGGGACCTCTCCAGAGAGATTAGTGGTCCTGTAAACCTTGATATACTTTTTTTTTTAACACCAAACCATTAGACCCCTCAGAAATTGAAACTGACACCACTGTGTGAAGTTGAAATATTTAAAAGATTTGCACCCTACCTGAAAGGGCAGACTACAAAAAAAAACATGGATCAGCACTAAGAGACAACAACAAAATTCTCCATGCTTGGCTCTGAGGGCAGGGTAGTGAAAAGGGAGTTGATCTGGGAAAGAATGGTCTTCCCCAAGAATCTGAAACCCCAGGTTTGTGTAAGTTTGTGGCCAAACTTTCCCAGAATAATCCAGAATTGGTCCTGAGACCTGCATTTTAACATACAATAAAAGAAATCTGTCCAATGAATAGATGCAGAAACCAAGACATTCTATTAAGTGATTAAAGAGTCAATGGCAAGAGAAGATGTATACTTGGGAGGACTTAATAAGGGGGAAGCTGTGCAAAGTGGCAGTATCTTAGCCAATGAGGTTTATCTGAGGCACTATTACTAATTAATAAGAGGGAAAAGGCAAATAAAGTGTCATTTGAATGTCTGTAAATTCAAACTTTGAGTTCAGTTCATTCTTTCAGAGAAAGCAACAAAACCCAGATCTATATGAATAAAAAATAATGAAAAAACTAAAGATATAAAAATAAAGTAAGGATGTTCAAAGTGTTGTCTTGATTAAGTATTACCTCTAGTATTGTAAATCAACTTTACTTAGAAATAGTAGGCATGCAATAAAATGTACACTTTTAAAAAATAGGTCCCGGGCTCTTTATAAAGCAAATATAAATCCTCTTTGGAGCAGCACTACCAAAACCTATGTCATCCAACAGGAAAAAAGAAAGCTAAGTGAATACTTCACACAGAGAATTCACAAGTATTCATGGGGATGTGCCATTGTAAGAAGAACAAACCGATCACAATATCAAGAATATTAGACATAAGGAACTCAATTAAAATGGGAAATAACTTGTGGTCAAGATGGTGGCATAGGGAGACATGGCTCACCGCTTCACACAACCACATAAAAATTACAACTAAAATATAGAGCAACCATCACTCAGAACCATCAGAAATCAAGTTGGAAGTCTGATGACTGTGGGATAAAAGAAAACACATCCATCCAGACTGATAGGAGGGGCACCGACATGGAACAGGCTGGTCCCTTATGCACGTGTGACAGATAAAAACTTGGGAGGGATATCTCAGGAGCAAAGAGTCCCACAGCCCAGGGTTCCAGTGCCAGGAAGGTAAGTCACCACAATTTCTGCCTGCAAAAACCAGCGGGAGTTGAGTCAGTGGAAGAAAATTCTGGGGCCCCAAACAGTTCCTCTTAAGGAACCCACACAGATTCACCTACTCAGACTCATTCCCTCTGAGCTCCAGCACCAGGGTTATATAGGGAGAAACAAGTGTCTGGCATTGAGGCAAGCAGAGGCTATTACCCCGTTTCTAAACCCTCCCCGCACAGAACTGGAAAGCTGGTGCCATTTCTTGCACCCAGTAGACACCTAAAGACCATGTCAGAGCCCCTGCCCCTGCACAACTGATCCTCCACTGAAGGTAGGGGTTGGTGGTAAGTGGTTACAGCTGATCCTTGCAGCTGACTGGCCTGGGTAAATACCTCTCATTGATCTGGCAACAGCAACCAAAGCTCAACTACAAGAGAAAGGTGTACTTAACCCACATGAAGCATACGCCTTGAGTACCCAGATGAGTGATAGGGGTGGCTGTGCCACTGGATCCTATAGGACACCTAAAACATTAGGCCACACTACCAAGACATGGAATCAAAGCAGCCCTTCATAGTATATAGAAACAAACAAAGGGAAGCTGCCAAAACAAGGAGACGAAGAAACGGCCCAAATGAGAGAACAGATCAGAACTCCAGAAAAAGAGCTAAATGAAATGGATATAGGCAATCCATCAGATGCAGAGTTTGAAACACTGGTTATAAGGATGCTCAAGGAACTTACTTAGGACTAATAGCATAAAAAAAAGATCTAGACAGAAATGGAGGATACACTAATTGAAATAAAGAACAATTTACAGGGAAAGAACAGTAGAGTTGATGAAGCTGAGTTTCAGATCAATGATATGGAATGTAAGGAAGCAAAAAACAACCAATCAGAACAAGGAAAAAAGAAGAATCCAAAAAAGAGAGGATAGTATAAGCAACATCTAGGACAACTTCAAGCATTCCAAACATTCACATCATAGGAGTTTCAGAAGGAGGAGAAAGAGCAAGAAATTGGAAATCTATTTGAAAAAAATAAAGAAAACTTCCCTAATTTGGTGAAGGAAATAGACATGCAAGTCCAGGAAGCACAGAGAGTCCCAAACAAGATGGATGCAAAGACTCCTACTCCAAGACACATCATAATTAAAATGCCAAATGTTAGAGATAAAGAGAGAATCTTCAAAGCAGCAAGAGAAAAGCAGTTAGTTACCAGGATTTCTCATAAGACTGTCAGCTGATTTCTCAAAAGTAACTTTGGAGACTAGAAAGGATTGGCAAGAAATAATTCAGTCATGAAAAGCAGGGACCTACAACCAAGGTGGTTCTACCCAGTAAAGCTATCAGAATCAAAAAGCAAGGAGCTTCCCAGATAAGAAAAGACTAAAGGAGTTCATCATTACCAAACCATTATTATATGAAATGCTTAAGGGACTTATTTAAGAAAAGAAAATCAAAACTATGAACAACAAAATGACAAAAATGCAAATTATCAACAATTGAATCTAAAAAAACAAACTAGCAAACAATTCTCTACAATTTAGTACTCAAATATTTCAGGTATTTCCTGAAAAC